TGAGAAAGAACGGGGGAGTTGTGGCTTTTGTCCGCAGCAGTCTTTCCTGCTCCAGGGATCTTTCTTTGGAATCAGACCGGAAGGACACTCTGTGGCTTCGCCTCAACTCCAAAACATCACCCAAATTTATTTGCTGCCTTTATCGTTCTCCCTCGAACCATAACTGGGATGACCTACTCGAATACCTCGCCGTCTAGATCGACTTCCTGAACATCAATCACCCCGCTTCAGAGGTAGTTCTTCTCGGTGATTTCAATGCCCATAATGAGCTTTGGTTGGGCTCAAATAAGGCCGATGCAGCAGGTCGTGCAGTCGAAGCGTTCGCTCTTACTCAAGGGCTGACCCAGCTGGTGACGAGCCCTACTTTTTTCCCCCGCGTCTCGTCACACGCCAGTAGCCTGCTGGATCTCTTTCTGACCACGCATCCTGCCCCTTACAGCACTGCTGTCCTGTCCCCCCTGGGTAACTCAGATCACGGTGTTGTGGAGGTTAGGTTTCGGTCAGAAGCCGCTGTGGCAGCAGAAACTCGCACAGGCCACAAAACTTGACATTACGGACATGCCGACTGGGAGGGGCTCAGAGACTTCCTCTCTAGCTTTCCTTGGAGAGATGTCTTTTTCACTGACCCGGATGCGTCGACTGTCTGTTCTTCAATAACCGAAATTATCCACGTCGGAATGGAGGAATACATCCCTCACACAGTGAAAGTTCCTAAACCAGGGTCCAACGGCTGGTTCAACAAATCGTGTGACACTGCTCGCCAGCAGAAGATCAAGGACCACAGAACCAACTTACAAAGCCCCACTGTAGAGAACAGACAAGCCGACGTCGAGTCCAGAAACAAATGTAACGAAGCGGTTCCCAATGCCAAAAACCAGCATGATATAAAAGTTAGGCACAGGGTAATGTCGCAGCGCAATGGCAGTCGGTCTTTCTGGCCTTTCTACGGCCTCCCAGAAAAGCTTTGCAGATGGGTGGCTGACTTTATCTCTGGCCGCAAGATATCCGTCGTAGTTGATGGATTCTCCTCTTCATCCCACAACGTCAACGCGGGTGTTCCCCAGGGATCGGTCTTGGCTCCAACACTGTTTCTCTTACATATCAACGACCTGCTTTCCTGCACGATCAACCCAATCCACAGCTTCGCTGATGACAGCACTCTACATGCAGGAATTCAGAGTGACAAGCCGATCTCTGCCGCTGAGCTGGAAAAAAGAAGACTAGCGACGACTTCTTCTCTGACAAGAGACCTGGAGGCTATCACTGCTTGGGGACGCAACAATCTTGTACAGTTCAATGCTTCCAAAACACAGTACTGTACTTTGACGAACAAAAAGCGTCCTAGCGCTCATACAGTTTCGATGGACGGTCGAGTTCTATCAAAGAGTCATTCATTTCGGCTGGTCGGAGTCCAGATCACCGAGGACCTGATCTGGCACGAACACATCTCTTCAATAGCTGCAGCTGCTGGGAAAAAGCTAGGCTATTTCTTTAGGGCTAAGAAGTACTTTTCTCCGCATGACCTTCTCACTCTATACAAGGCCCAGATAAGGCCTAACCTCGAGTATTGCTCACACATTTGGGGTGCTGCCGCCCCGACTACATTGTCCATGCTCGATGCTGTCCAGAGGAGGGCGGTCCGACTGATCGATGACTCTTCTCTAACAGACAGTCTCGGGGCTCTTTCGCACCGGCGAGTCGTCGGCGATCTAGCTCTTTTCTATCGCTACACCAACGGGCTTTGCTCCTCAGAGCTCTCTTCCATGATGCCGCCGCGCGATGTGCCTGCCAGACAGACCCGCCTGACTTCGGCGTCTCATCCTAACCGTGTCAAACTTCGTACATCCAGAACTGGCCGATACGACCGCTCCTTTGTCCCGAGGGTGTCTAGATTGTGGAACAATCTACGGGAGGAAGCTTTTCCCAGTTCTACTAACCTTAGGCAGTTCAAAAATCGTATTAACAAAATTTATTTGGGATCATCATAGCAGCCGCGGTGTTCCGGCATTTAGGCTTCTGCCTGGCTGTTTCGATATAAAAAAAAATATATTAGTCCTCAAGATAGTTTCGACACATTCTGATATCTGTCACAGTTCTATACGAACAGCGGACTAGCTGTTGGCAAACAGTCAGAAACTGAACGAACAGGTGATATCTCTCTTATTCTGATTTTGACAGTCACCGACCATTTACCGACTACTGTACGAATAAACCAATGAAATGCAGTATATGCATATATTTAAAAATTACAATTTTACTTAATAGCACTTTTTGAGAAACCCGGTATAACATCATATAAGACCCTATTCCTTTTTTCTTCTAGAGAGTCATATATAAAAGTAAAGCGTACGAGTAGCATGAGTGTATGTGGCACCCTTAAGAAATAATCTTAAAAGCATGGTGCAATCTTTGATTTCACATCAGAAAGATTACGCGAGGAAGTTGTAGTTTTTAAGTATGCCTATTTGACCACACACGCCATAAGTTACCAACAATGGTCCTTGAGCGTAACCGAGAAACGAAATCGTACATAGCATCAGTGAGCTGAATCGAAGAAATATTTCGTTCATATCCTTCTGATCATTGCATCAGATGATCTATAGCTAGGACAATAAATGTATTTTAAGTTACTTTCATGTTTGTAATGTGACTTGGAACGCGATATTATCTCGAAAGAATTCAAAGCGCGACTTTCGACACGTTATCGTAAAAAGTGTAATTTGATGATTTATCTAAGATCAATTTATTTTATTTAATAATAGCGTTCGTTGCCAAATAGAAAAATTGAAGAGTGTTCATTCTAGTTTTAATACTAGTTCTTTTTTGCAGTTGGATATGTTGATACAATGCCCTTAGGAGAAGTGGAGCGTAACGTAATGTTGATATAATCGTTCGGGAATTGTTATAATCATATTTGTGTTCATACTACGAGGGTTGATCCATATGCTCCGCCTTGACTCATTTGCAATGAACTTATAATAGGAAGCGGAAGATTAACATAAGAAGGTATATCTTGCAATCTGTTGGGTATCTCCAATTTATACTGGGTGTTCCAAATTTGAGCCTCACCACTGGAATCTTGGAAAAGTGTAAGAGTTACGAAGTCGCTTAAGTGGAGACAAAGTTGCGTATTTAAGTAACTAACAAAATGACGCTTAGAAAGTTCTAACTTCAAGACATTTACGAAGGGAGATGGAAAACCAGAATTTTCCCAAAATCGTTTTAACTTTTTCCTTGTATCTCTTACCGTTTCAGAGATTCCAATGGTTAGGTTCAGAGTTGAAACACCCGGTATTAGCCCTCTATACAGGGGGCTACGTCTAAAGCAGCCGGTCATGATAGTAAAAAAATCGATCGTTATAAATACTCCAGTGCATCAGACTAATATTAAGATGTTTGAATAACTGCGTGTGCGTGTGTTTTAATAGTCTGACGATGGGATTGTAACGTGAGAGTGTGGAAGAGTCACAAACTGCAAAAGAGATCATCTTGACATTCTCGGGCGCGGTCACTTTTTTTAAATTTGAAAGCTCAAGAATAACGCAGCATATATAATTAGCCGATTTCAGCAATCGAAAATATAAATAATTCATTTTCACTGATTTGTCATGCACTTTCTGAATTATGAAAAATAATAACACCATTCCATTTGAGGTTTTCTCGCCGGTTCTGTCGTTGAGCGGCCTTACGAATCAAAAACGAACTATTCTAACAAAAGTTTCGATAGAAGCACCCTTTGAAGCCCTTTTAAATTAAATCAAGACCATGAAGTGAGGCGAGGTAGGCACTGCTACTGGTGGATAACCTATTGCAGTTCTGATCGCCACGTTGTCAAATCGATGAGACTTGGGGATAATCGACTGGGTCTACTTGACTTACTTGACCTATTTAATTGTTTTGCTATGCATGTTCTTAGTTAACTTTCTTCAAATAAGAGCCAGCTTGAGCCGAACATAACCTTTTATGAACTGGTGACAGCGTTAACTTATTTCACGACATGTTTGTACTTACTACGACCCCACAGACATCTTTCCAACTTTTAACAGAATAGAGCGGTTTCTCAGATTACGAGGATTTGAGAGCACCTAGACATATCAGATTGACAGACCAGTGGGAAATAATTATACAGATTTTCGTTTTGTTTATATCACAAGACGTGATACATTATTATTTCCGGGATCACAATACTGCTCGAGTGTGATAAGTATAATTAACCAAACGAAAGGCGCCGGACTCTATACTTCCTAAGCTTTCGTTGCGGTTTCCAAATTACAAAATTACAAAAAACGGTTGAGTCAAATCTGATTGAAAGCCTCACTTAAGAACGATATATTGTAAACCCCTACATGAAAAATAGAAAATGTGTTGGACAATATGTGTGGCTCTTGTCTATCAGGCGCATAATATTACCCGGACCAGACTCTAACAATTCAACGTCATTCACCGATACCAACCAACCCCTAACTTCCAATTATCAACCCTTTCTGGATCAACTGTTTCCAAGACGTCAAAAAACGAGGATTCGGCTCTATTTTTTATTTTTTCTCCTAGCTCTGCCACGACTGTATCAGTTCTCAAAACACAGAAAACTTTTTTGTTTTTTGTAACCTTGTTACATGACATGTAACATCCATAAAATATAAATTCTCATTTTTGAAAGTTTATTACAATACGTCCATGTGAATTAGGGTGAGATATCTCTCTTAATCACCGAACCACAAAGAACCTGGAAAAGGAGCACTCGTCTTTCGATGCCAAAAATAATACCAATGACATGAAAAACACCGATTCCACCTGTATACTTGATTCAAACTCCACCGTACCTCCACAGCAGTTGTCAGAAACAAGGTTCAAGAGTTAAACGTATCGCTGTTTACTGTTTTTAGCATGTGCATGGCGGTACTATTGATCAATAGATATGGATCTCACACTCAAACGTCATTGAAAGGCACTTCAAACTCGCCCGTGAATTAAACTAATGACGTCACAACCGTTGCAAACATTCACCGAAAATGCTCTGCCCGTTTCAGTTTCAATACCAAGGTCATGTCTAACATGAAAAATTACGTAGAAATCCAGGTCAACCCCTGCAGCTATACGCTTCAGTTCCTGTATTCAATACCGTATAAAAACCAACGAGTGCATCAAATTACACACCAATTGTAACCGGTCAGTCTCTTTATTAGCAACACAGACCATTTCGACAATGTTCAAACTGGTGGTGTTGTGCGCCCTTGTGGCCGTAGCTGTGGCTAAACCAGGTGGTGTCGCACATGTGGCTTACTCCGCGTATCCTGTGTCAGTGTCTTCGGGAGTTAGTCACACGTACAGGTAGGGATTCAAGTCGAAATAAGTTTATTTTAAAGGCAAATCTGTAAATCCGATACTACTGGACCAATTTTCAAAACTGTCAAACATCTCTCGTGATAGTGGGTATCAGTTTCTCAGTTTTAGAAAGGTCAAGTATACCAAGTTTTTTAGGCATAGTGCTCTGCCATTATAAGATCAATTTTTAGAATCCTGAAAGCTGGTGTCAAAATTTTATCAAAATCTGAGCGGTAGTTTCCGATATATACAAGGGTGAAGGGTTCTTGGTCAGTCCAACATCGAAACACTTAACCTGATGTTTGCGAATAAGTACAATGTAGTATATCATCTCAAAACTTCCCACATAAATCCAGAAACATAAATATCGAGCCTAAAAATTGCTTGGCATTGAAAAAATGTTTTTATGAGACGTCTAGAAACAAAAATTGAGCTTCTCAAACATCTTTTTGAAATACGCCGTGAAATAATAATTAGAAATATAGACAATTGCATTTTTCGAAAGCCCTCTTTTCCAAAGCTTATAGTCTGCTCAAAATTGTTATGTCCGTTGTCTGACCAATAATAGTTTGCCTTCCACAATTCGGAAAGTACTGCCTGAATTTCAATGACATTTCTACACAATACTATCACGGCTGGGAATAAAAAGCTCTACAAGTTTTGGAAATCGCTCCAGTGGTGGCGAAGCTTAACCGGAAAAACTAAAAATTACTTTTCGTCCCCAAAATGCGTGTTTCCATTTTAGTAGTCGGACACTAGGTTTCTTGTAGATCTCTAGTCACATTAAAGCTTAGTAATATTGTTTTACCTGATTTAAAAGTTTACATGAACCCAAAATTTTAAGTAGATTAGATAAAGATAGAGATAGTTGATGTTGCTGCTCCAAGATTCCGAAAATAGAGCATCCAAAAAATGTGTTTTTTAAAAGCTAAACCAAATTAAAGGTTTAATTCGTGTGGTGTACGAAAATGTTGAAAAACTTTGTAAATTACAATACCGCATGAGTAACGTTGGAATTCGCCTTTTCTGGCATTTAAGTGAATTTACATGATGCGCGAAGACTACAGACTGGAGATAGGAGGTTAAACTGCGTAAGGGATACTCGTATTCATATGAAGCCAATCCTGTCATCAAGGATGTGAAAAATGTCAGCACAACCTGCCACAATATATATGTGCATTTTACACACATTTTATTATGCTTTGTTAATTACTTCGTGGTTTATTAATATTATCCCCTATTTCTGCTTGTAACTCGTCCAAATTATTAAAATTGGAGATTGGAATTGTTTACAGTCATAATGACAGCAGCGGATTTAGATGCCACATGCGTAAAACCGAAATTCATCTTCTGCGCAGTGTAAGCACAAGAGGGACGCTCTATGCGCGGCAACTGAAATTAATTTCCTACGCAGTATACTTACTTCATCGTCGACCTTTAGTATTCGTAACATGGTGTATAAATGTGAAATGATGCAACATTAACGTTTGCGCGTATGGAATTTGTGATTGCCAAAACTCTTTATTATATCGATCAGCTTTCTCATAAAACTCTTAAATTTGACTCAACATACCAAGATACAGAATTGACAACTAACTTGACATTGAATTTTTTCAATGATTACTGATGAACCCTTTGCATCTCTATCTAAAGGAAGGACGTCATCAGCCAGCCTGTGGTGGTGGCCCCAGTGCACACTGTCCATGCTGCTCCAGCTGTCCATGCATACCATCACACCCCTGTAGTCGCTGTGGCTGCTCCAGCTGTCAGTCATTCCTATAGGAAGGATGTGATCCACTCCAGCCCCGTTGTGTCTGTTCACACAGTTCCAGTTCTGGTCGCAGCTCATGGATACCATGGTAACGGTCACCACGAATGGTAAAGAGAGGACCTGGTGCAGTTGTGGATGTCATTTTGTAAATAATCTGTGTATGTATTTTTTGTAAGAGAAAATAAAAGTTGTTTCTTCACTACTTTGTATTAATTAGTGTCTCTAGCTCAAGAAATAAAATATCAGTGTTGGTTATCTGGGTTGTTTCAAGACTAAGACATCTGAAGCTTCTTATTCCACGTAAAACTGTTTAAAATTCTTAACTTCAGGTGGAGTGCAATACTTTAACCGTATTAGAGAACTATGTCCACTCACATACCTTGAGTTCATTCGTGAATTCTTACAGAGTATACATATATATACTCTATAATAATTGCAAAGTTGTTAATTGTTTGACGCACCAGTTCCACCTGTTTGAAAGTAAATCAAGGTAATCTTTCTGGAACGTCAAAGGTGTACTTTTTTTCCCGCGCTCAAATTCTTGGGAATAAGAGTGTCGTCACTTGTCAATCTCATGGTTCATTGTTCGTTTACTTTATTCGGTTATCAGAAAGTGCTTAAAATTGGTTAAATATCTTTTTTCTGTGACGGGACAAAAGTTTGACATTTTATCTCTGTTGACAGGTAACAAAATGTTACTTTTTATGAAATTACTTTTTTCTCCGGAAAAAAAATTAGTACTTTTTCTCGGATATTGTATAAACGATTTAGCTAAGGTCAGAATTTTTAAATCAACTCACAAAATTAAATTAACAGTTACTTAATTACTTTAAAAAGTTCCTTAGCAGCGCAGGTCTAATTGTCGCTATAAGTACAACATAGCCTACCAATTTCAAAATTCAAATTTCACATCGATAATTGAAGGGTCAGCCGGAACAACGTTGTATGTAACAAAAAAGCTAAGTGTCCGAAATTAAGAAAAACAAATTTGAACCATTTTTTTCAAATGACTGCGTCTATAGTTGGCCAGCACAATAAAGGAACAATAGTTATATATAGTTATTGTAATTTAAAAATGTGACACCTATTTTGCAGCAATGGGAACCATTTTTATGGAAAACGCATGTAACAAGGTTGTATGATCACGTTACTTACAACGTTGTTACAGGGAGGCTTTAAATGACTATAAGCAAAACAAGTATTTTCAGCAGTTCTATTTATTAAGGGAACCAAAGAACATAGTAACATATTTTTAATAACAAAAAAATACGTTCTAAGTTCATTAACGTGTTTCGAAACCAAAACTGAAACTTAAATAAGTATTACTGGGTTGCAGTTAATTTCTCATAAAATGTTACATACTTAAGCGGAATATAATCACTCAAATCATCAAGGTTTTTTAATTTTTCATCTTTGATTGGAAGAAGGTTGTGATACATTATAGGTAACTTTTCAGATGATATGATATCAGTGGTAAAAGTCATTGTTTCCTTTCTTTTACGATTGCTTATGGGAAATGAATTCCAGGGCTGCATAATATTATGAGATTTTTTCATTCTCAAAGTAGCTGGAGAATCAGCGGTAAGTTGCAGCCACAATCCTTGTGTAATTTTACATTTGAGGTATTTCCATATACAATATTCCAAAGCTGTTAAATTCTCAAAGAAGGCTTGGTGCATCCAGACAACTTTAAAAGGGTTTTTAACTTTGGCTTTAGCAATGACATCGACCCACTGGAATGGTTCATAAACCATAGATATTCTTATTTGTTTACGTACATACAACGTTGTTACGCGGAGGACTGAAATGGCGCGATTTACAAATTCGCGTCACAGTGATTGATGCGAGTAAACAGGTGGGTCTATGTTGTCAACGGGTCCCAATAGGCACATATTACGTTGTTTTACGGAAATCTCGTATTATAGAAAAATGTTATATATTGTAATAATATAATTTTTCAATAGTAAATCGTCGTTTTTCCCGTCACAGAAATAAATTGTGTATTATACACGGGAAAAATACTAGATTTTAGCTTTCGGTTTTTTGTCTCCCGACGCGCAGTATTCCGAGTTTTCTTTGACTCCACCGGAATTAGTAGAAGTAGCCGAAGTAGCGTCACAAGAATTATTGCCAGCTAAATCGCGGATTTTGACTCTTGTATCGAATAGTTTAAGGAACGTGTCATTCATGCAATGCACATTTAATAATTGTACTTTTCATATAAAGGAAATGAAACTTTATTGTATAATAAAATATTCTAAAATTAAATATCTACCTTTGCTGATGTGTTTATACAGTATCCGGGAAAAAAGTACCAATTTTTTTCCCGGAGAAAAGAGTAGTTTCAAATGTAACGTTTTGTTACCTGTCAACAGAGATAAAATGTTAAACTTTTTTCCCGTTACAGAAAAAATTGTTTCCACGATGAATCGGCTACCACTTATCCATGGTGTTTCTTATAACGAAAAATGGTCGCAGAAAATGTGGTTACAAATTAGTGGGCTACCATTAAGTGATACTTACATGGCTGTGTAATAATTTAGACATTGTAAACATGTAGTTACACAGTAGTCCAGGGTGAAATTGCATCTGTCAATCTCCATATGTATCTTTACTGTATACGGTATTACGTTGCAAAGTTAAAGCTAAACTTCTTTGATACATAATGCATGACTAAAATGTCAGGAGGGTTAACGTTAATGTTTAGGCGGTCGACAACGTGATGTAGGTGGACATATCATTTTAATGAGTTACAATCATCTGACTTTTTACTGTGTACCTAAACCAATAACTTTGGATGGCCCGTACGGATTAGCCATCTTTATAGGAGCTCTACGTTTAGCGATAGAGAAGGCCAAATGCGTAGCATTTTTTGACCTGTCCAATTATGTTGAAATGTCCTACAACACTGAAGATGCAGAATGTAACTTATGGTGTAACTTAAGAAGGAGTAACCTTAACATATTTTTAGCAGTTGATGTCAAAAAAAATGTAATCTTGGACTTTGACTAGTCGATTTTAACAATTTTTGAAGATAGGAAGGTATGTTACTTTTAGTATGAAGAATGTTATTTTGCAAAAAAAGTTTTCACTTTATTTTTGAAGTGGGGCGGAAAGCCTGGGAAATTCTCAAGGACAAGGTCTTAGAATAATCTAAGTAATATAAGTAGAAAAAAGACTGTTAGCATACGGAAATATAGTTTTCAGAAAATACTGTTTTAAATTCACATACTCATACAGTGGAACTCAATGCAGCTCTGAAATGCCTAACAATTTTAGCTTCAGGATTCATATGCCACTGTTTTACGTCATTCTATTTTGTACAACTACAAAATTGCGATAGACATGTAACACCTCAGCAAAAAAACATTTGAACGACACATGTGAACTTACTAATCAGTTGAAGATATTATGATTTTGACCTCCAAAAAAACAAAAATAAAACAAAATTAGTGGACCTAACATCCGTAAAAAATATTAAAAAGAAATTACTACATGAAAACAAGGCTCACCCTAAGTATAGTCTGTTCGTTAGGGCAAAAACACGACTTTCTGTTACTTATAAATACATGAACTAACGGTATTTTGTAGTACTTACGTATACGCTTACACCAACTTACTTGAACTAAACTCATTAACGACAAGAGAAAAAACAAAATTACCCGCTCCAACGTTTGCTAATTAAATTACGCATGTCTGCGAAACTGTGGAAAAAACTTTTGCCAATATTTAGAAGGTGACTATGCACAAAGCCTCACTTCACTAAAAATTAATAAACCGCTACACGTCAAGGTCTTACACATATTAATACTTTAAAACGGTTAATGCTATAATTACACTTTTCCAAAGTCATTGTCAATTTTCTGGGAATACTCTATAAAAGCCTATCAATCTATCAGCATGGTCCCATAACACTTCTGAAATCAAACCAGCAATGTTCAAGTTCGTGGTCCTAGCTTCCTTGGTAGCGGTGTCTCTAGCCAGACCTCAAGGGCCCCCAGCAACTCATCAACTCAAGGGCCACCAATTGGAGAAGAAGGTTCATGCAGTACCAATTGCGCTAGGTCATGTCCCACTGAAGCATCCCGCACCTGCAGGTACTGTCCACACCGCTCCACTGTTGATACTAGCCATTCCAGACTCTAAGGTACACCATCCTGTCAACAAATACCCTCAACCTCAACATGAGTATGGACACCATCATGATCATGAGCAGTTCAGACATCATGATGAGATAGAGGAGAGTGAAGAGTTTGGAAGCGATGAGGAAGGTGAAGAAGAGGAAGGTCATGAAGGAGGTCATGAACGCATCCATCATGACTGGTGATCACTTGAAGAAGGAATTTTGTTTAATGTAGTCGGTTTGTACATACGGAGTTATGGATTTGTGAATAAAGGTGGTGTGTTTATTTGAAGAGCTTTAATACAAGTGAGTACCACGGTTGAATTGGAAAATGTGACAGACATTTTCAAAATTGAGGAGTAGTTTTTATAGTTTTTACTTGGCGTGAACATATTTATGATTAACAAATCACCTGCTCGAATTTTGCTGATTATTTGACACAAGAGGTTACTATGCCAATGTCGAAAAATCATTCCAGGTCTTGGAAATCTATCTAATAGCAGCAGAACTACTAACTTCTTTGTTCAAGTATCTAGAGGTTGTTTTATTAAGATGTTTCTAATACCTGCAATATTGAGCACCTGCAAAAATATAGTGATACATATTTTCATACATTTGCCATTAAAATAGAAATACGAATTTATTTCCTTATTTTCAAATATGGCGAAGGTGCGAGTGAAAATTTATTAGGAAGTAATCTTCACATAAGTGATCATACCTAGTCAAGTCTCGATTTCATTTCAGTCTTTTGAATACACCTGCCCCGTTCTTTTTTTTTGGCCAATATGTGTGTAGTTAGTCTTCAAGAGCAGCTAAGTTGCGTTTGCTTTACGAAGTACCGCTACAACTGATTACTCCACGTTATATAAACAAAAATATAATCATGTCCAATAGAAATCTGGTCAAGGTAGGTTGACCCTGTATCTCATATGCAATTGCTTTCTTTCATGTGGTATTAGATTTGGAAATAAACCTAACATAGTCTACTTGACACCATTTCTTCTTCAAACACAGAAATCGCTTCTATCTACATATGCCATCTACAATCAATAGATAATATCTTTACAGACTATGTCGATGTCGAACAATATCCTTTAGTATCTGATCCACCATAAAAAGGTAAGATTTATTTAGTTACAAGTATAATAACATCCAGTAGCCAGAGATTGCGTTACATTAAGCGGACCTTGAAAGGAGAAGTTCATCCAAGAACAAATGCTTTCAAATCAGTAGGTATTAGTCAGACTTGTTGACGACATAAGATGGAAATAACAATACTTAACAGAGACTCAAAGAACAATGTTAAGCTCAAAGCAATCATGAATGAAATGTTAAGCTATAAAGTTGGGTAAATTGTACAATTAAGCATATTTTGTGAAATCTCACTGAATCATTAAATAATCTATTTTACCGATTCGAATGATCGAATGATAATTTAAAGTAAAGATATCTAACACATTTTGATCAACATGCACAACTTAAAATTTATATTCATAATGTTGCAAAAAATTATTAAATCCATAAAATTAGTAAAAATTGACTATACATACAACTATTGCTTTAAAACATGATTTATTTGGAACTCAACTTGAAAGTGGCAGATTTTCCTTGAAATGAAAGTTACTCATTCATTTTGAATAAATTATTACATATAAATTGGCACCCAACTAACAATTATCACTCCTATTAGAGTTGCAAGAATGATTATACAGTATTTCTTACACAGCCTTGTATACTGTAAGAACATTGGCAAAACCCTCTTAGAACAGCTATACAATCGGAATGGGCACACCTTATAGGACACTTCAGTCATTTAAGAGGTTGTATAAGGGCTGCAGGTAACAGTTATACAACCAAAGTGTAAGCCTCTTGCAGCCGCTATAGGAGACATTTGCCTCATTGCAAGATTCAGTTTCTATCAAAATTTTATTGTGATTGTCGTGCAAAGTAGTTACGCAATTTCTACGGGCTTTGTATTTGATTCATATTTTGATAATGATCAAAAGTATGTCTAGATTTTTAAAATGGAAAACTGAACTTACCTTTATTAAATCTTCCACAAGTCCTATATTTAGACACAATTACACTAATGTTTATCACTTTATATCTGTACTTTCGAACTGAAACATAATTATTTAATATTAAATAGAGGAAGAAATGTTTGCCCAATATGGCAGGTGGTTGTGTATAATCATCGCATCGTCCATGTTGTCCTTATTAGAATATTTTGGTGTTGCCTGCAGGTGTTATACAACAATTTGACAAATGTCTGAAATGAAATACCGACAGAGTCGAATGAATTACCCAGAACTTGTGCCAGATCTATATCTTATGTTTGAACAGTTGATAAAGTCTTTTGAACCAATATGCATGCATTGTTTGTCTTAAAACATTGGTTATGGCATTTTAACAAAAATATGGCAGCAGAAAGTAAGGTTATGGTGAAGTTGTATACCAACATATTTAGCATATGTACAGCCTTTAACAGTTACTAAACAACAATTGTATAAGTGCTTCCGTTAGGAGCAATTTGTTGGCTAAAGTAGTAAATTGCCCAGCAAAACAACAAGGCTCGGGTTTGTTTTATAAATGATACCATGGATGCCACAACACAACCATTTAGACTATTTTGACTAACGTGCAAATATGCCGTATAAAATCGTTGTATAAACGTTTATGCAACCGTTCAAAATTTGTCCTATAAGGTGTTGGACAACTATGCTATAAGAATATCTTAAATACCTCATTTTAGAGAAAATATGTTGCAGAAAGCAAATATGCATTCCACACAACATTGAGCCAGCATTTTGGTGTTCAGGTAACAACAATAGAGAGCTTTTATGGGTTCTTTTACCAAAAGCTTATACCACTACTTTGCTAGTTGGGCACTAGTTAATTCTAGTAACACAGATGATAGTTTCAGTGGCTGCGGTTGTAAAGGCACAATGTCAAACATTAAAACTAAGGCTAGTGAAATAATAAACAAGACTAGTGAAGTGTAAAATAAAATAAGACTAGTTATATTAAATAAAGCTGGTAAAGCAACTAAAAAGGAACAACACATGGTAAATCTAGTAAATTAGCTTCAGACTGGCAAATCAGTAAAACTAAACAAAAAATCAAACATGTAAAACCAATACAAATTAAAGCTCCTAGGTGTAAATACACGTCCAGTGTTTTACTGAAGGGTGGAGTTGGTGCAGCGGCCTGTGCTGGAGGAAATGAAGTGGTGGGGATGAAGTCGACGCATGCGTCACTATCCTGTCTTACTAAACTGTACGTCAGATACAAGGCGTGTATTGGAGAAAAAATCCAGTCATACAAAAAATGTATTATTCAAATCAAACTGTTTTCACTCGGTGTTCTGTTTTCATTGTCACTGAATATAATGAAGTTAGGAGGTCTATATTCTTGTGTGTGAAATGAAAAACCTTTTCAAGACGTCAAAGGTCCCAGGGTTTTTTTTTACAAGCTTAACTGTAAATTATCTAAATGATATTCTGTACATTTCAAATAACATTTAATTATATAAAGACGGCAGTCATATTAGTTTGGTCAATATTGAACGAATATAAACAAAAAGGTATTTTGGAAACCTCTAAGAGAAGTGGTCGGACTAGAAAACTAAATGCTAATTGTCCACATCTTGTCCACATTTTCTGTAACCCTGACTATGGTCAACAAACGGATTACATCAGAATCGTATGAAATTCAGTAAACTGTCCAAGCGTCCAGTCACTGATACCATCTTTCACTCAAGTATAATCACAGCGGACTTAAATAACCGTCTAATGGATATTTGGTAACTGACTACGTCCTCACATTAACAGACGGTTATTCGGCAAGGCCAGTACAGCAGAGAGCACTAATTTAAATTGGTGAAGAAATATACACACTAAATTTGGCATAGTAAAAATAATGAATGATTTTGTAACATTCTGTTCCTGCTATTCTACCCGATCTGTATCGCCTAGTGTATGAAACTAATTTGTATGGTTCGTTAGGTGCAATCGGCCGGAACCGGAGGAATTGTTCCGGATTCGGATCATGCTATTGTTGTTTTGATTGTCAGTGCAGAAGACTGCAGTTTTTGTATCTATACTGAAGTTTTTTTTACTGAAAGCACAAAAAAAGGATTTTTAGTTTTTTTTTGAAGTAGATCAATCCGTCATTTCCCTTTAGTCCAGGAGGTACAATAATAAGCGATCGAAGTTGCACATACCTCGTTCGTCTTCTGGCCTCCCAAAATACTGAATTGCAATGTTGTATTAGCGCGAAAGTATAATATTGGAAGGTAATGTCCGAGCAATAAATTATAGTTAAAAGGAACCGCATTATATAGAGGAGCGTGGCTTGGTTGAGTTGACTCCAGTGGCGGTGAGCTTTTGCAGTTGATGAGATGCAGGCTTAATTAAATTCCCAATATGGTGTGATTTTCTAAGCAGACTACATCTTTATTTGTAATCTCCAGGCTTTTGAAAACAAAATATTTATTTCAAATTTCAATAGTCAGGGAGAAGCAAGTTGTTTGATTAATTCTGGTATGGTAGGTTGGATATGTTTGGTATTGAATAGACAAGCCGTAAGTGCTAGGCTACCGGACATAGTTACGTTTGGAAACTGAACACATCTAAAATTTTAATCTGAAAACCGTTTACTTTACGAAATTAGCGCTGGCTATTTATACTTCTTGGAACTAATGTCATTAGCTCTGAAAAGTATTTCACCAGTATTTAGTTTTACCATTTTCTGTGTCTATACAAAACTTCATTCTGGTCTACATGCTTCTTAATTTGTAAACATATCAATCAATCAATCAACATGAGTATGGACACCATCATGATCATGAGCAGTTCAGACATCATGATGAGATAGAGGAGAGTGAAGAGCTTGGAAGCGATGAGGAAGGTGAAGAAGAGGAAGGTCATGAAGGAGGTCATGAACGCATCCATCATGACTGGTGATCACTTGAAGAAGGAATTTTGTTTAATGTAGTCGGTTTGTACATACGGAGTTTTGGATTTGTGAATAAAGGTGGTGTGTTTATTTGAAGAGCTTTAATACAAGTGAGTACCACGGTTTAATTGGAATATGTGACAGACATTTTCAAAATTGAGGAGTAGTTTTTATAGTCTTTACTTGGCGTGAACATATTTATGATTAACAAATCACCTGCTCGAATTTTGCTGATTATTTGACACAAGAGGTTACTATGCCAATGTCGAAAAATCATTCCAGGTCTTGGAAATCTATCTAATAGCAGCAGAACTACTAACTTCTTTGTTCAAGTATCTAGAGGTTGTTTTATTAAGATGTTTCTAATACCTGCAATATTGAGCACCTGCAAAAATATAGTGATACATATTTTCATACATTTGCCATTAAAATAGAAATACGAATTTATTTCCTTCACATAAATGATCATACCTAGTCAAGTCTCGATTTCATTTCAGTCTTAATTCTGGTATGGTAGGTTGGATATGTTTGGTATTGAATAGACAAGCCGTAAGTGCTAGGCTACCGGACATAGTTACGTTTGGAAACTGAACATTCACATCTAAAATTTAAATATGAAAACCGTTTACTTTACGAAATTAGCGCTGGCTATTTATTCTTCTTGGAACTAATGTCATTAGCTCTGAAAAGTATTTCACCAGTATTTAGTTTAACCATTTTCTGTGTCTATACAAAACTTCATTCTGGTCGACATGCTTCTTAGTTTGTAAACATACTGGTAGGTTCAGCCACTTTAAGCAGAAATCCAAGTATATAGAATTTTTGGTTTTCCAGAAATCCTCCCAATGCTAATACAAACAATTATGATGAGTTACGATTTGTTAATTTTATTCATCTATGACTTCCTAGTTTAGTCCGATGACGGAAATTTTTAATGTGCTCATAAAAGTAATTTATAGGAGCCACTGTTGTGGTTGATTTCGCGATAGTAATCGTTTCTTGTAGATTGAGATACTGCTCAAGCAGTAGTGTTATCCAGAAAAAGATCTGGGGGGGATGCTCAGGATCCAGGGTAATAACAATTCTGTCTCGGAGGGGAGGGGGTGTCTTGGAGATAGAAAACTGCATAGCAGGGTGGGGCGAACTCGCTTAGTCCTGGTAGCTATACTTCACAGAAGGACAGAAGGTATAGCATAACATGCTGTAATGGGCTGTTGCGCTTCGGGGGGGGGGGGGGAGACATCGAGGAGCCCCAAGGCCCTGCCATGAATACGCGGTGTGCCCAATACCAGAATAGGAACAGAGGCGTGGGGTCTGTGAACCAAGCTCAAAGAGTTCCGCGCTTCTTTCTAATATCATTGGGATTGCACCCATCCAGCGACGGCGACGAAGTAAATAAGAAATGAATAAGTCCTTCTGCCTGTAGTAGCTCAGAGCCTCACAGTGACATAACACATGCGCCGAGGACTCTTCCTCTACCCTGCAGCGCTCACACAAGGATCCTTGTCCACCCCCATCCTTAGGTTGGCTCTATCCAAAAATAAGCAATTGGCCCTACAATAAGCTCCCTTGCCTGACGGAGATGTCTAAACATGATTTTTTATTTCTGAGAGTATTGTCCTGCAATCCACTTCTTAATTTTCCTCGTGACTCTTTACGCAGGCACCCCTAAGGCTGGCTCAGGACCAATGACCTTGCTCGCTGATCCTGCTTTCGCAAGAGCGTCCACCATATCATTGCCCTTTATCCCAGCGTGCCCTGGTACCCAAGATACAAGATGCCTCGCTGCTAGACATTCCAGAGCCTCCCTTCATTACAATACAGGGCTCAAAGTATTTTTGCAAGCCCTTCACCCATCGTAGCCTGGCTGTCGAAGAAAATTGTTATTCGTCTCCGAGGCTCTTCCCCTTCCAAAATGCAGGATACTCAAACCAGAGTCGCAAAGATTTAAACCTGAAAAATAATGGTGTATCCGCCGAGAGGCAGAGATAGCCTAGTTATAGACCCAAAGAGCCCTCTTCAGTGACCGAGCCGTCCGTATACCAGACCTGCCCACTCCCTTCGGAGACCTTCCGGAAGCCCACTCTACCCTCGTTGGATACTCCACAACATGTGATTATATCGATCTTCTATATTCTAGTTATGTTAGCGAATCAAGCATAGACAACAGCGAAATCAATTTCAATTTCATTGAATCTACGAGTTCATTTAAAGTGCATAGACAAATCTGATACTTCTAGTTTTCTTTTCAGATCAAACGAAATGCTGGCACTAATAGTTCTAAATAAGGCACACAGTGTGTTTATAAAATTATTACTGCTTTGAACATTAACACTGACAATTAATACCCATCATTAAAAGTCAGGTAACTCATCTAGAATATTACCAACGTGCTATTCAATTACACCATTAGCGTAGCCTATATTTTAATTTACATATAAAAACGTAGCGACTTGCAACTAGTCCAGTTCTTACACTATCAGTGCTGCTCATCGTTAATTAACAGCAAAAAATGTACACGACACATGCATCAATTTGTTTCATCCTGATTATTGGATCTTCTTATGCTGCACCTGGTGCGAGCCCGGTAGCAAGAGCTAATCCTACACCAACCGCGAAAGCGGATCCTACACCCGAAGCCTACGCTGACGCTAAAGCAGAGGCTAAAGCGGAAGCCAAACCTGAGCCTATACCTGTTCCGGTACCTGTTCCAGGCTACTGGCTAGCACCTCTGTCGTTTGGTAAGTTTATATTTTCATTGATCGACATTTTTTGTCATTGACAATTCGATATTTTTTAATTACTTAATTTGGTAGCCTGAAAGTTTTTATTCGTTTGTGAAAAACTGTTCCATGTGGCTAAGTAGATATATACAGGGTTATCCAAATTAAGTGTCCACCATTAGTAACTTTGTTATTAGTGAAAATACAAAGTTGTTTGAATTAGCAAACTAGTAGCATTTTTAACGCTGGTAAAAATGAGAAATAAAAAAAAACAATTGAGAGTCGTTATTTTGATTTTTTTCAGAAAAATAACATTTTTTTAAATAGAAACCCCTGTATATTATATTTTTTTCTGTTAAAGCATCAAATTTTAAACAAAAAAGTTCATAATGAGTTTTCCGCTAAAGTCAAAAATAAAGTCAAAATAACGATAAATATTTTTAATTATTTGCAGTATTATAATATTAAGACGGCTATGAAAACAACATGGCGTTCGCGATTTGACAGCATTAAGATAAGCGACAAATTGTTAAACTGGACATACTCGCAACTAGAAGGCTTTGGAAAACAATGATAAAATCAAATAATGTCAAACATTAGTGTAAATACTTGTTTATAAGCTTTATTGTGTCATTAATTTAAAGAAAAATGTTCTCCCATGAAGAAAAGTGTGATATGTTAGAATGCTATTTAGTGTGCAGAAAATCCTCCTTGAGAGCAAGAATTATATCCCGCTCGCATTCAACCGTATGAACGATATTTTCTGAGACTTTATCGAAAATTTAGGGGCAACGAAAATGTTTTTGCTAAAACAAGGGCAACAAAAGAATTCATAATAAGCGAGGCCACGGAAATTGCAGTTATTGGATATTTTGAAGCTTATCGTGAGAATTCAATAGCAGATATTCTCAAGGACTCTAATTTCAGTTATGGTACTGTTCAAAGGATTTTAAAAAAATACAAATTTATTCCGTATAAGTACCGACCAGTTCAAACGCTTTTGGCAGGGGATCCAGAGAGAAGACTTGTTTTTTGCCATTGGTATCTTAGCTTCTGTCGCCAAAATGTAAATAACTTTCGTTACCTTTTATGGACAGATGAATCAAATTTTTCAAATTCTGGAATGTTTAATAGAAAAAACCACCATTATTGGTCAAGAGAAAATCTTTTGTTAGTACATCCAAGAGGCCCACAAGTCCGTTTCAGTTTCAACGTTTGGTGCGGTATAATTGGTTCAAAAATTGTTGGCCCGTTCTTTTATGAGGGAACCCTAACTGGTGAAAGATATGTGGAATTTATGTCAGAAATTCTGACTAATTTCTTAGACGAATTGGATCTTATAAGTAGACATCATCCATCATCTGCATTTTCAGCAAGATGGCGCACCTGCCCACAACTCCAGAGGTACTTATCATTTTCTAAGTACTACTTTTAATGATCAGTGGATAGGAACAAATGGCCCAATACAGTGGCCTCCCAGATCACCAGATCTAAACCCACTTGATTACTTCTTGTGGGGTTACTTAAAGAACCAAATTTACAAACGAAGGTACGATAACCTTGACGCGTTAAAGACTGCAGTTAGGGAAAAGATAACCAGATAGATGGTAGGACCATACTTAAGACAGTTCGAGCAGTTGAAAAACGTGCCCAAAAATGTATTGAAGAACAAGGTGGTGTTTTCGAGCATCTTCTTTAAAAAAAATTGTTATTGTATTTTGTAAGATTATAAGTTGATGTTGAAAATAAAGTTTGTCGATACAATTTAATTGTTTCAGATTGGAGGCCATAACGTCAACAATTTGTAACCTAGGAGAAAAGTTATTGTAAGCTTTTTTGTTTAAAATTTGATGCTTTAACAGAAAAAAATATAATATACAGGGGTTTCCATTTAAAAAAATGTTATTTTACTGAAAAAAATCAAAATAACGACTCTCAATTGTTTTTTTTTATTTCTCATTTTTACCAGCGTTAAAAATGCTACTAGTTTGCTAATTCAAACAACTTTGTATTTTCACTAATAACAAAGTTACTAATGGTGGACACTTAATTTGGATAACCCTGTATATTTACTTCATAAGAATTACTTTAATTTTAGTGAAAATATTTTTGGAGTATCTCTTCACGATAGAGTAATCTTTGTGAATAGGTTTTCATTGTGTAAGATCCCACTTTTAGTCTACGGGCTGCCTAGGGTATCCTAGGATGATACTGTCTGTAGCCACTATAATGAAAATAGACCCTCATGGTCCAAGGGAACTGCCTGTTTTATGAGCCAGATATACTTTAAAGAATCCGGTCAAGTACATACTTTTGTGAGGCGCAGAATCTTCTACAATATAAAATTTGACTTTTGTAAGCTGACGTAAACCTATCGGGCTAAAAATTGAATTTTAAAAGCAGCAAAGGAAAATTGATGGAAACTATTTTCAGCTAAAATTAGCTGCTAGAGGGCTACACAAATGCCGTTTTTCACAAATATTAGTAACATATTTTTAAAACAACCTTTTTTGGATAGTATACGCGATTTGTAGACTTTTATATAAACATATCTTCTGGTAAAATGATTACTTTAGGGAGCGAGAATGGTTTAAGATCATTGCAGAAAAACTTATGATTGACTTTATCGACTTTCATGGTAATATTTTTTCAGGGTTTCAAAGCGCCCTTCTAATAGGGGTTGAGTTTTGTCAGTGTGTTTATTTTTTCAGCCGTTTGTTGATGCTCAATGAGAAAATCGCCGTTATTACGGAGGTTTTCAAAAACGTATTATTCTCAATTATTCAGACAGTGCCTACATGGAAGTGAAAAATACAAGCTGCTATCTTACTTAATTGCAACGTCATGAGTAAGAATTGAACATATTCAGAGTTTTCATGCTTAGCTGGATTATACAGAACGTTGAGGCTGTGATAGTTACATCATATCAATTATTTAAATACATTTTCATTATACACCTGGGTTATTTTCACGCTGAACCATAAGCACCAGAGGGCTTAATTCTAACTCAAAAATGTAAATTACTTGTATGTATGCTCTCACTCAAAATTTATTATTTCTTTATTCTTAATGTTGAGTTGCTTGACTTCGATGCATGAGTACATCTAAAATGCCTTATTGTCTTATTTGGAATCTGTTTTTTCTGTTTAAAATTCAGTTTGGGCTTTACGTATAACATAGGAATAATGATAATAGTAGGTCTTTATTTGGGTGAAGTTTAGCAAAAATCTATTCTTCCACTTAACCCTTTTAAAAAATTAAAAATCTACAATTTACATATTCAAAATGTCTGGTGGTAACTTTCAGTGTAACAATTACAATAAAAGGCAAACAATAGCAACCATACAGTTGAAACTTTTAAAAAGACAAACTGGGTAAAATAAGGACGATACAAAATATACTAAGTGACATATAAATCCGAACACCCAGTTTAAATGGTTTTATTTTAATAAAATTTTGTATAAGTACTTAATGAAGCACAATAAGTAAATGATAAAAATTTCAAAATGATTGCACTGCTTTAAAGCCCTTTGACCTTTAATAATGTGTGGATGCACCCTGATGTGCTACGCATTCTCCAACGCGCCTAGGCATGCTTCTGATCAGGTGGTCAATGTCCTCCTGTGGTATCTCATTCCAGGCAACCACCAACTCCTCTCGAAGTTCTTCTAGAGTCTGAGGAGGACGTTGCAAATTGAGCAATCTCCTACCCATCATATCCCACACGTGCTCAATTGGGGATAAGTCGGGAGATCTTGGTGGCCATAGTAACCATGTGACTTCATTATGTTGAAAGAAGTCTATTGTGACTCTTGCAACATGTGGTCGGGCATTATCTCGTTGGAAAGTTGGATCTGCCAGGGTGTCAAGATAGGGTAAAAGATGGGGTTCTAGAACTTCTTGGATATAACGCTGCGCGTTCATGTTACCTCTGATGAAGATTAAAGGTGACCTGGAACCATAAGCTATAGCACCCCAAACCATAACTCCAACAGTGTGATGAACATGTCTTTCAACAAAAAACTGTGGATTCCTCCTTTCACCACGTCGCCTTCTAACCCTGGCACGATCATCGTGCATGCCTAAACAAAATCGAGACTCATCACTAAAGACAATACTGTTCCATTCCTGATCCCAGAGTGACCGTTGTCTGCACCACTCAAGGCGATTACGTCGGTGTTCTCGAGTTAAAGGGAGGACCCAGTGTGGCCGGTATCAAAACAAGTCAAAACTTCTCATTCGTCGGTAAACTCTTCGCCTGCCAATAGGTTTTCCGTGTTCTGCAAACCATTCATTTGCAATGGACCTGGTAGTGGAGAAACGGTCCCTTAAGGCCAATAATCTTAGGCGGCGATCTTCACGGTCTGTTGTTCTACGGCGGCGTCCAGTGCCCCTTGCTCTTTTCGTACGGCCTTCTCGAAGCCATGCCTGACAACACCTAACCACAGTGTCTACACTTCTTTGCACTCTAACTGCAATTGCCCGAAAAGAAAGTCCAGCTTCCCGAAGTCCCACTATACGGCCCCTATCAAACTCACTAAGTTGACGAAATCGTACAGGTCTCCGTACTCTAGGCATCGTAACCGATCGTAAAGGATGTCAAGAACCAAAATCCGCCAACGCTGATTCTTTACTGCGGCTGAAATATTCATTTTTAGAGCGTTAGTGAATTAAAAAAAAGCAGTATAAAAACCGGAATGTCCAACTGATAAGGCTGAAAATTTTTTCACTTGTTATTTACAGTAAAATAAATACATTCACCAACTTTTATTAAAATAAAACCATTTAAACTGGGTGTTCGGATTTATATGTCACTTAGTATACATGAATAGATGAGACACTGGCAGGATTCAATATAGATGTAAGCAATGAGAACAGGCCACAAACGGGTATATATGCCAGCATTTCCATGGCTCGATATATACATCTTAACTTCTGGTTTAAATTTATCAGCTGACGATGACTTATGTGAAACTATTCCAAAAGAAAGCTTTCCTCTGGTTAAGCATTGTTCAGGTTTTATTATATACTATATTTCTGGAATGCATATCTGCACGCAATCAGTTCCTCTCTCACAAATATATCCAACAGGTTGTGAGTATATGTGAGGAATGACGTCAGAATTTACATACCCATTATATAGCTATTTAGCAGTTCGATAATAGGACACAAAATAACATTTCATTATTTTCGGCAGGTGTCCACAAGCCACTATTCAGCGCCTATTCCATTGAGTGCCCGACCATAGCAAGACATGCATACTTCTCAAAAGGATATGGATCTGGCTATGGATATCCCTACCCATGGTGGTGAAGTGGTGCAACTAATAGTTACAAAAAGTCATTTTTCTTGATCATGCAGAGCCTAAACAAAAATCTGCTCTACAAACTTGATGGAACACATCATCCAGTGTAGGGTTACTACAAGAAGTTCTAACGAGCTTAGTTTTTGTGTATTAATTAGATAATTTATTTAAAGCAACTTCCTATTACTACGTAACCCGAACAAATAAACATAATTCCTGTTTTAAATAATCTATTTTATTGTTTTCTTTCACATTGCACTTGGCAGGTATGTTTATTGTGAGCGGATCAATCTTGACCCTCCACTGCGACTCACTGTTCTATTGCGGTACTGACACATATCTGTCTGGTATCTGTATGTTTTAATAAAGGGGCTGAACCGTACTGAATGTCCCGGAATTGAAGGGTAATCCTGCAACTTTAGATACGTCACGTCATGGCCTACTAAATGGTGAAAGTTTGTTTTAGTAAAAGCCTTATAGTTTTCCAGACTTTCAGCATTTTATTTTTTTTGAACTGACTTATATTTAGTTAGTCCCGTGTCATTGCTACAAATATCAACTTTTTTTGACCAACTTTGTTTCAAAATGCTCAAAATCAAGTATATCATCTCGTCCATTAATATTTTTTCTTAAGGGGCGAAAAACCCACATAAAAGTCATGCCAAAGTCTAAATTTGTATTGAGCTTAACGTTTTGTTCCAGATTTTCAATACTACAACAAATTGTGCAGTACGTCTTTTGTTCCTGCTAAAACTCATGAGTACGAAGCCAACATGAAAACAATGGTGGGAAAGCAAAGAGTTTCAGGCCGATGCTACAGCCGTATTAATTGTTAAAAAACGGTGGCTTTGAGTGAATTGCTTGCTAGGTGCATTGTTTAAAAAACGCTTGGTCACTTTTGACCTAAATTGTTCTCCTGTAGTTTACGTGGATAAAAAACAAAAAATAAACTTGTAGGAGTACACATGCTTCCATATTATTGTCAAAGTGGAGCTTTTGCGGCACAGTACGGATATTGAATTCCAAAATTGCCTATTTTTTAGTATGTTGCAATTTATTATATTAAATGGATATCTCAAAGCTCGAAAGTATTTACGAGTATATGTAGCACTATTTTTAGTAATGTATTAATTACTATAAGCACCTAGCAGTATTCGTCACAATAAAATGACAAGGACACAACTGCGACCTTCCGCTCTCTTGTGAAAAGTATTGTCCTTTTGAGTAATCGTTTTTGATTTTTCGAACAACTCGTGCCAGATCGAGTCCAGCATTAACATCATGGATAAGATCACCATACCGTCCAACACCTTCCTCGAAGGTGTGTTAATGAAATATTTCTTTCAGTACCTATAACTAAAACTGACTCATTCGCCACTTGTGCAAATTGGTCAAATTTCATCCCCCTCCCAACTAACAATTATCACCTTTAGGGTTGTAAGAACTTTAATACAGTACTCTTTACACAGCATTGTTGATTGTAAGAGCATTGGCAAAGCGTTCTTAGTACAGCTCTATAGCTGCTCAAGCAGAATGGGCGCACCGAATATAAGTCACTTAGATGTAGTATAAGGGCTGCTACTGACAGTTATACAACAAAGGTGTGAACACTCTTGCATCCGCTAAAAAACCTTTGCGTCAGTGCAAGATTTAATTTTGTCAACTAAACAACCATACTGTTACATGATTCCGTTTTATGGCGACTAAACTATTTCTTATGTATTGTAACTAGCACATTACATTCTTGTTGTTTACTGACATATCATCCATTATGAATTTCATACAAAAGTACGTAAGTCAAAAGTAGTAATTTTATTGTGATTATCGTATAAAACAGTGATGCAATTTCTACGGGCCTAGTATTTTGTTCATATTTTATATTAATCATCAAAAATATGTCTAGATTTTTAAGATGAAAATCTGAACTTAACTGTTCTAAATTTTCCACCAGTCTTGTATTAAGTCACAATTACACTAATGTTCATTATTTTTCATCTGTAATGTCGGGCCGAAACGTAATTATTTGATTTTCAATACAGGGTTACATTTTTTACCCAATATGGCGGGTGGTTATGTCTAATTATAGAGATTTTTTCGCGTGATCCCGTAGTGAACCAGAGCGGGAACAGATGGAATTTTCCCTTCCTCTCGAAGTTTTGACAGTTTCAAGTTACAAGTGCGGTTCATATATCTCTTCGATCACCTTCTTCCTCGTCATTTAAAATCAGGTGGACGTGTTGCTCCATTTATGATTTAATAATATAACTCAATTTTCAGCACTGCGAAGACAAATTTTTAATTGAGATGCCTGTTTTTTCAAATAACATTGACATAAGACCTGTCACCCGCTAGTACCTCACAGACGTTAGGCGAGTACCCGTACCACGTGATTTTTTGACATTCGGACGGTGTCACACCCGATTCCCGTTCTTCGCAAAAATTTTAGTATCGGTTCCCGGTAGTGCATTGTGCTACACCGTGGATTCGCGAAAAAATCCTTTATGGCACCCTCCATATTATATTTGGTTTGATAAAATATTTTGGTGCTATCCGCAGGTGTTATACAGTAATCTGGCAAATCTTTGAAATGAAATATGGACAGAGTCGAATGTTTTCTCAGAAGTGGTACCAGTTCTACACTATCTATTTGAAAAGTTGATGGAACCTTTATTCATGCGTTGCTTGTCTTGAAGAAGAATGACAGTACTGGCGTTTAACCTAAAACGATGACAGCAGAAACTTAGGTTATAGTGAAGTTGCATATACAGGGTGTTCCTTAATGATATGAGAATACTTAAGGGTGTGAATCTACACGAAAAATTAATGTTACTTTGCTTTATAAACTATGGTCCAAAAATGTTTCCTTACAAAAACTCTGGGTGCTGAAGTCTTAGGAAAAAATGGAAATTATTATTGTCAGAACCGCTTCAGAAATATTTTTCAATGCAACGGTAATTTTTAGCTTCAACAATGGCGTGCGCACGGGTATTGACTTCGATATTTTTTAAGAAAAAAATGGTACGTCAATGGTTTTTTGCCAAATAAAAATTATTTTTGAATTCCCCGTTCAATTTAAAACAAATGATTTTTTTATTTTTTTTTCCTTTTTAAGTAAAAAAACCGTTGTATTGCAATTTAGCAGTAAATATCTAGTTGCTCTGGAATATGTCAGTGGCTTTTGACATCTGACAAGTCTCTGTTATTCAAATCTGTTCATTGTGACATCTTTTTCATTATTTAGTTTTTACAATCTTGTTAATAATGGTGAATTATTCAAATGCAGAATTGGCGGAAATGCATTAAGTATATGGGTAATGGTGAGCAAGCCAGATGGATTTATCACCAGAGATATCCCGATCGTGCTTTGCCAGATAGTCGAACCTTTTCTAATATTCATTATCGCCTTGTTGAAACCGGTTCTGTCCGAAAAGGAACATCTGAAGGTAGACCTCTACGTGTGAGGACACCTGAACTTGAGGAAGCAGTGCTGCACGAAGTCGAAGAATATCCTGAAACGAGTACGAGGAAGATCGCTAGACACTTACATATTTGCCATCAAAATGTTTGGAGAATTCTATTGGATTTTTTGTTATATCCTTACCATATTTTAAGAGTACAGGCATTACTTCCCATTGATTTTCCAAGGCGTGTGACCTTTTGTCAGTGGTATCTTTAAAAATTTCACAAAATCCGCAATTTGAATCAATTCACGGATGAAGCTAATTTTTCTGCGAAACCCATTTCTAACACCAACTTTCGGTTATCGTATGCGCAGGAATTATTGGCAACCATTATATTGACCCGTTCTTCTTGCCGGGATGAGTTGACGCAGAGACCTACCTCAAATTTCTTCAACAACAGTTGCCTTTGCTGCTTGATGATGTTCCGTTAGTAATAAGAAACAATATGCGGTACATGCATGATGGTGCCCCAGCGCATTTCAGTGTAGCGGTTCGCAATTATTTACAAAGTGTTTATCCAAATCGTTGGATTGGCCGCGGTGGGTCCCAAGAATGGCCACCAAGGTCCCCAGACCTCAACAGTTTAGATTTCTTTTTTTGGGGCTATCTTAAAACACTAGTGTACACAAGTCTCATTAACACTGTAGAGGAATTAAGAGTTATTCCAACGAGCGCGCAGCTCCATGAGAAGGAGGGCGGAAGCATGCATACTAAGTGAAGGGGGTTATTTTCAACAATTTTTGTAATCACTTCGTTGGTTTTAATGTTATGTTTATGTTGTCAGTTGTTGTTGTCCATTACCCCTAATGTGTTTAATCTTTCCAATTAAATTAATAATAATTTTGCAAGTTAGAAAATAGAACGGTTTTTATTTTTTTACTCAAAAATGACGCATTGAAGGAAAACAATTCAAGAAAGATCATTTGTTTTAAATTGAACGGGGGGGAGTTCATTAAATAATTTTTTTGGCAAAAAACCATTGGCACAATATTTTTTTCTTAAAAAATATCGTCAAGTCAATACCGATACGTACGTCACTGTTGAAGCTAAAGATAATTTTTGCAGTAAAAAATATGCAACTTTATTAACTTCCACTACGTACTAAATATCAGTGAAATATCTGAAGCGGTTCTGAAAATATTAATTAATTTCCATTTTCTTCCTAAAACTTCAACACCCCGAGTTTTTGTAAGGAAACATTTTTGGACCATAGTTTATAAAGCAAACTAACATTAATTTTTCATGTAGATTCACACCCTTAAATTTTCGCATATCATTGAGGAACACCCTGTATATTAAGCAACAAATCTTTGCCGAGTACAGCAATTTTGTAGTATAAAGCTTTAATATTGTTACAAATGTGTAGCCTCCAACAGTTAAAACGACAGTTGTATAAATGCTTCCGTTGGGAGCAAGTTGTTAGCTAAAGTAGTAATTTTGCAAACGAAAGCAACAAGACTCGGGTTTGTTGTATAAGTGCCTCAACACAACTATATTGACTACCGAGCTCATGTGCTCTATAAAGTAGTTGTATAAACGTTAATGTACCAGTTCAAAATTCGTCCTATAAGGTGTTGTATTTGTAAGTAAGCTACAGGAATGTTTTAGACACCTCACTTCAGGGCGAAATACGAGGCAAAGCATTTCACACAACATTAAGCCAGAATCTTGCTATTCAGGCAACAACAAAAGAGAGCTTTTACGGCGTAACAGTTCTTTGACCAAAAACTTATAGCACCACTTTGCTAGTTGGGCTGCTTCTCAGCAACCAATAAGAGGAATGCTTTGTTTTTATGACAACTTTTAATCAGAAAGACAAGAAATACGTTATACTGCGTTTAATACACCTACTAGGGTAGATTCTAACTCATCTACGATTATCGACCACATATTTTTGAAGGCAAACAGATTTAAGGTCTCTGAAACAGCAATTGAGTGTAAACCAATACTTTTGGAAAATTGTATGACCGATCATTATCCTGTTTTGTTCAATTTTGGGTATTTGAAAGGAAGTAATTGTATCATTAATAAAAACAGCTATGAATTTAAGAAAATTGATGAGAAAAAGTTGACAGATTATTTACAAGTGGTGACTTGGGACAGTGTTTTTTCAGAGAGTGATGTCCAAAAAGCAACTGATAACTTCTATAATGAATTATATAAAGGCATAGATCATTCAACTTATTATTTAAAAATAAATAGTAAGACCAGAAAACGCAAGCCGTGGATGACTGAAGGTATTCTTACTTCGATCAAGAAGAGAGATGAGTTGAAACAGAGTTTGACGAAAGATAATGATAATTTGGTATTGAGACAGTCCTATATCTCCTACAGAAACAGAGTAACTAATCTTATTAAGATCTCCAAAAATCAATATTATACACAAAAACTCATTTTAGCTGGTAATAACTATAGGAAGAGCTGGGATGTTATTAATGAGGTAACTAATGCTGGCAAAATAAAAAAAAATGACGTAAAATCAATTAATCACAATAATCAGCAGCTGGACACTCCCACTGATATAGCCTGTGTTTTTAATAAATATTTTGTTGATATAGGTGAGCAAATAACAAGTCAGATACATCAAAACTCAATTCTTGATACATCAGATCCTCATGTCATCAACATTGCTCACTCTACGTTTCTAACTCCAGTGGATAACATAGAGTTACAACAAATAGTTTGTAATCTGAAAAATAATAGCGCACCCGGAAAAGATGGCTTACACACTAGAACTATCAAGATGATCATGAAGTATATCAGTCACCCTATAACTCACATTATCAACCTCTGTTTCAAATCCTCAGTAATTCCTCGCCAATTTAAAGAAAGCATAGTGACACCAATATTTAAATCTGGAAGTAAAGACAATATGTTCAATTATAGAATTATTTCAGTTATCAATGTATTTGGGAAGATTTGAATAACAGACTTTGTTCTTTTCTTGAGAAATATGACATAATATCGAACTGTCAATTTGGATTCCGCAAAAATTGCAATACAGAGCAATCTCTACAAGAACTTACAGGACAAGTGCTTGAAAATTTTCAAGATGGAAATAAGACTGTTGCAGTTTTCCTAGATCTTCAAAAGGCTTTCGATTCAGTATCTCATACAATTTTATTAAAGAAACTAGAGCGTAGTGGAGTTCTGAACTTATTTGAGAACTATTTGGCTGATCGATTACAACAAGTTAAGGTAGGGTCAGATTTAAGCAACATTCAAAAGATCAAAATAGGTGTGCCTCAGGGGACAGTTTTGGGACCAACACTGTTCCTCATATACATAAATGAACTACTTCGATGTAATTTCAACTGTAAGATGATATCATATGCAGACGATACTGTTTTAGTTTGCACTGGTCATTCATGGGATGACGCAATACGGAATGCCGAGTTGTCATTAAATAAAGTCAAATGCTGGTTGGATAACAATTTACTTAAACTGAATATCTCTAAAACTAAGTATGTAACGTTTTCCCCAACCAAAGCAGGCATGTCATTACACCACCGAACATTAAGTATAAATGATAGTGCTGACACTGTCGAAAGAGTTGAAGTTATTAGATACTTAGGAATCATTGTTGACAGTAATTTAAAATGGCAGAGTCATGCCGAGCTTTTGGCATCGAAATTAAGGAGAATTATTCATAAGTTTTTCATTCTTAGGAATATTTTAAGCAGAAAGAGTCTTCTTTCAATATATAACTCGTTTGTGGGGTCTCTACTAACTTACGGGATAAGTATTTGGGGAGCCGCATACACTAGTACTTTAAAAATACTACAAACCACGCAAAATTATATTGTCAGGACTATTTTTCATATCCCATGTAGGTCAAGTTGCAGATTTGTTTACATTGAAAATGATCTTTTGAATGTTAGAGGTTTATATATTTTTGCTGCTCTAAAATTTGTTCACTCCCGAAACAATGTTCCAACCAGCCACGCTTATGAAACAAGAACTAAAATAAATATAAGTTACACCTATACCACAGTGAATAGATCTGTTTGCCAAAAATGCATAATGTTTGATGGTATTAGGTTGTATAATAAATTACCCCTAGAATATAAAATCCTCTCGAAGTATAGTTTTAAAAAAAGAATTAAGAAGTTCATCTTAAATAACTTTGACATGCTTGCATCGACGGTAGCTTGACTCAACTCAGTAATTTCGTTTCTATCTAATGTTTTTTTTTTATTTATTTTTTTTATATACATTTGCTCATAATATACCTTATGACCATTAGCCATGCAATGAATTTGTATATTGTATGACACACACAAGCTTATAGCTTAGGTGTCTATTATTTTGTAGTAAATTGTAGTACTCTTGTTTCTCTGCTTAACCTTTACGCAAAATTTTTATTGTTTAAGCAAGATAGTTTGACCTTACTCGAAATATCCCTCTATTATCATATTTCAGATATTCATATTTTATGTACTCTATATTTATACTTTTGAGTGTTTTTTAGTATGCTTCTGTACTATTGTTATGAATTTTAGATTTGTTTATGCAGAAACGTAATTTAGGATTTGTGACGACAAGATCCAGACATTTACCCTTTACAAAAGTATACAGAATTTTCACAATTCATATATCGTTACTTGCTGGTTCTAGATCTGATGCTAGTATCTTTGCTCAGATTTCTGTTGCAATCTTGGTTATTCAGGGTAGCAAGAGCATTCAAGCTCATGTATTTTTGAAGCTTTTTGCATTTAAATTGTACTGAAGGTTGTTTTTAATTTGTAAGTTATATTGGTTTTTGAATTTGAATAAACTTTGAATAAACTTTGAACTTTGAAAAAGTTTTCGGACAAATCGACTGGGACGTACTTTCCATACGTCTTGTGCGCGGTCCTTTGCCTCCTGTCTGCCCCGTTTTCAGTTCATGGTTTTGGTGTTGTTACCTTTTTTCGCTCTTGGCAACGTTGTAACAGCCATCCGCAAAGCTATACCCTCCCTTTCAAAATTTTTATATCGCTGCGCTTTCGAACATACTGATTTGTCGTTTAAGTAGCTCTTGCTGTGATTTTGGGGTCTAAATTCCTTGATTTCAAGAAAACTCAGTTATACTAAGTGACATATAAATCCGAACACCCAGTTTAAATGGTTTTATTTTAATAAAATTTTGAATAAGCACTTAATGAAGCGTAATAAGTAAATGATAAACATTTCAAAATGATTGCACTGCTTTAAAGCCCTTTGACCTTTAATAATGTGTGGATGCACCCTGATGTGCTACGCATTCTCCAACGCGCCTAGGCATGCTTCTGATCAGGTGGTCAATGTCCTCCTGTGGTATCTCATTCCAGGCAACCACCAACTCCTCTCGAAGTGCTTCTAGAGTCTGAGGAGGACGTTGCAAATTGAGCAATCTCCTACCCATCATATCCCACACGTGCTCAATTGGGGATAAGTCGGAAGATCTTGGTGGCCATGGTAACAATGTGACATCATTATGTTGAAAGAAGTCTATTGTGACTCTTGCAACATGTGGTCGGTCATTATCTTGTTGGAAAGTTGGATCTGCCAGGGTGTCAAGATAGGGTAAAAGATGGGGTTCTAGAACTTCGTGGATATAACGCTGCGCGTTCATGTTACCTCTGATGAAGATTAAAGGTGACCTGGAACCATAAGCTATAGCACCCCAAACCATAACTCCAACAGTGTGATGAACATGTCTTTCAAAAAAAAACTGTGGATTCCTCCTTTCACCACGTCGCCTTCTAACCCTGGCACGACCATCGTGCATGCCTAAACAAAATCGAGACTCGTCACTAAAGACAATACTGTTCCATTTCTGATCCCAGAGTGACCGTTGTCTGCACCACTCAAGGCGATTACGTCGGTGTTCTCGAGTTAAAGGGAGGACCCAGTGTGGCCGGTATGAAAACAAGCCAAAACTTCTCATCCGTCGGTAAACACTCCGCATGCCAATAGGTCTTCCGTGTTCTGCAAACCATTCATTTGCAATGGACCTGATAGTGGAGAAACGGTCCCTTAAGGCGAATAATCTTAGGCGGCGATCTTCACGGTCTGTTGTTCTACGGCGGCGTCCAGTGCCCCTTGCTCTTTGCGTACGGCCTTCTCGAAGACATGCCTGACAACACCTAACCACAGTGTCTACACTTCTTTGTACTCTAACTGCAATTGCCAGAAAAGAAAGTCCAGCTTCCCGATGTCCCACTATACGGCCCCTATCAAACTCACTAAGTTGACGAAATCGTACACTTCTCCGTACTCTAGGCATCGTAACCGATCGTAAAGGATGTCAAGAACCAAAATCCGCCAACGTTGATTCTTTACTGCGGCTGAAATATTCATTTTTTGAGCGTTAGTGAATAAAAAAAAAGCAGTTTAAAAACCGGAATGTCCAACTGAAAAGGCTGAAAATTTTTTCACTTGTTATTTACAGTAAGATCAATACATTCACCAACTTTTATTAAAATAAAACCATTTAAACTGGGTGTTCGGATTTATATGTCACTTAGTATATTTATCATTTCCATCCAATTGAGTTTCACCATCGATCAATATTCTAACTAATAATGTTTTTTCGCCGTTATGTGATCGAATGTTGACAAAGAGTACTTCTGTGCTTTAAGTAGAGTTGAGTGATATTGTATGTGACTGAAATTGCCATACAACTATCTTTGTAGTGTGTCTTGATGCAGAAAAAACATTTGTGAAGGCTCGATCTGAACAAAGTGCATCTTCTCTCTTGAATTTTATTTTGTTAGTTACTTAGTTCGTAGTATATTTATTGTATTTACACATAACTCTATCTATCAACTCCCTGCACTCGTATTGTTATTTTCTGTTCGCTCCGAAAAGACAATTTCAGTTAGAGTGTTAGATAAAAACTGAAGTCGCAGATTTTTTGAACAAGGCTTTTCTAATGTCTCGCTTTTCTCCGTAACTCTTCACAAAATTCAAAATCGTATCTTTTGGACCAAGAAGAGGGTCGAATGTAAAATTCGGAGTATCTATTTGCATTTTGCTTAGACCTCAGAGTGGAGATCAATAATAATATCAAATTCGGTGAGGAAATTTATTTTTAATCGCACGTGGTACAAAACATTTTATATACAAAAATAGACACGATATATTTTACATATAGGTACACATGTATCAAAATTCACCTAAGAATCACACAGTCGTTTACCAGCCATGGCCATAACTTCCGTAGCCATGTCCATATCCGCCATATCCGTGTCCCAGACTATATCCAGAGTGCCCCAGGCTGTAACTATGTCCCAAACCGTAACCATGTCCCAAACCGTAACCATGTCCTAACGAGCCGTGACCCAAAGAGCTGTATCCGTGACCAAGGCCGTATCCATGACCAATTCCATAGTCATAGTGGACAGGTGTTGAGATTATTGGAGCAGCGGCATAGGTTTTTATTACTGGAGTATGGACATCAACCCTGGAACAAAAAAAAATGACGTCAATTAGGTTGACTCGGCACTTCCCACACAAGGCTGTCACCAGAATATAAGAGAATATGTTCGACACAAGTTAGCCCCTCTTAGAAAAAAGTGTATGAACATATCGTCGGCTTTCTCACGAAGTGTCCCAACCAACGTTTAGTAAATTTTACAGGATAGCAAGAAAATGAAATCACCGTGTTATTGATTGAGCATTATATGTAAGTGACATATAAATCCGAACACCCAGTTTAAATGGTTTTATTTTAATAAAATTTTGTATAAGTACTTAATGAAGCATAATAAGTAAATGATCAAATTTCAAAATGATTGCACTGCTTTAAAGCCCTTTGACCTTTAATAATGTGTGGATGCACCCTGATTAGGTGGTCAATGTCCTCCTTTGGTATCTCAGTCCAGGCAACCACCAACTCCTCTCGAAGTGCTTCTAGAGTCTGAGGAGGACGTTGCAAATTGAGCATCATATCCCACACGTGCTCAATTGGGGGTAAGTCGGGAGATCTTGGTGGCCATGGTAACAATGTGACATCATTATGTTGAAAGAAGTCTATTGTGACTCTTGCAACATGTGGTCGGGCATTATCTTGTTGGAAAGTTGGATCTGCCAGGGTGTCAAGATAGGGTAAAAGATGGGGTTCTAGAACTTCGTGGATATAACGCTGCGCGTTCATGTTACCTCTGATGAAGATTAAAGGTGACCTGGAACCATAAGCTATAGCACCCCAAACCATAACTCCAACAGTGTGATGAACATGTCTTTCAACAAAAAACTGTGGATTCCTCCTTTCACCACGTCGCCTTCTAACCCTGGCACGACCATCGTGCATGCCTAAACAAAATCGAGACTCGTCACTAAAGACAATACTGTTCCATTCCTGATCCCAGAGTGACCGTTGTCTGCACCACTCAAGGCGATTACGTCGGTGTTCTCGAGTTAAAGGGAGGACCCAGTGTGGCCGGTATGAAAACAAGCCAAAACTTCTCATTCGTCGGTAAACACTTCGCATGCCAATAGGTCTTCCGTGTTCTGCAAACCATTCATTTGCAATGGACCTGGTAGTGAAGAAACGGTCCCTTAAGGCCAATAATCTTAGGCGGCGATCTTCACGGTCTGTTGTTCTACGGCGGCGTCCAGTGCCGCTGGCTCTTTGCGTACGGCCTTCTCGAAGCCATGCCTGACAACACCTAACCACAGCGTCTACACTTCCTTGCACTCAAACTGCAATTGCCCGAAAAGAAAGTCCAGCTTCCCGAAGTCCCACTATACGGCCTCTATCAAACTCACTAAGTTGACGAAATCGTACAGGTCTCCGTACTCTAGGCATCGTAACCGATCGTAAAAGATGTCAAGAACCAAAATCCGCCAACGTTGATTCTTTACTGCGGCTGAAATATTCATTTTTAGAGCGTTAGTGAATTAAAAAAAAGCAGTATAAAAACCGGAATGTCCAACTGATACGGCTAAACATTTTTTCACTTGTTATTTACAGTAAGGTAAATACATTCACCAACTTTTATTAAAATAAAGCCATTTAAACTGGGTGTTCGGATTTATATGTCAGTATATTTCCGAATTGAAAATTTCAGTGTATCAGCCCATATTCAGTTTCAATATTTGCGATAGTTTATCAAGTTATTTTGGAAAAAAATTGGAAAACGCAAGTAGGTCACTTCGTGAGATTTTTGCCAGATAGAGCTAAAATATATATTTATTAAAGTTCTTGTTTATTTTTTAAGATATGCAGAATTTTTTTCATTTACTTATAATCACAGAATCATATTTCCGGCCAAGGGGGCGATTATCTCAGAAAATTTGTTGATTGTTTAATTTTTTAAGTAATTGTTGATCTGCTGACAGCAGAAAATATGTAAAAATGTTCAGATCGACTTTTGAATTTTGGCTAAAAAATTGGCATCAATTTTTATGCCTAAAATTGGTGTAGATTATGATACAAATATTAGGTGCTGAGATGGAGAAAACAACTCGAAGCCTCAAAGCAATTTTTATTGAAATAAAAACTAAAAGAAGAGCAACTAACTTAAACATTATCTTTTGACATATTACCAGCTAATGTTGATGTATTATGATACACAAAAGAAAAACAAAGTTAGTCAAACAGGCTTATATAATGAGTCTCCAGCACTCCACCCATTTGACGACATTACGATCTAGAAATTTCTCCCTTGCAAAACCGAGGTTACTAACCATCTAGCAATGCTGCCATGACTAAACTTAGCCAGCTCCACATTATTTTATCCCTATGTTCGTTGCCTTGACATTTCGTAGTTTTTTTTCACTTTTTTTAGGCTTTTTACATAATAGCCGTGAGGTACTCTCCAAGTTACAGAGGAGCCAAAGACTAGCGGACAGACCAACAGGTCCGCAGACATACAAGGATTTTCGTGATACACATGTAGGACTATAAAAAAATCCTGATATCTCATTGTCGAACTTTTCCTGAATATAATACTTCCTGGTCAGTTAACGTGAAAAGTAAAATGCTTAAATGAACCTTGCCAAGAAACTAATGATACTAATGACAAAAAAAATAATAACAAACTTTAAATACAGCGATTCAAAAACAATTGCAATTGTTTTAGAAAAAAAATAACGTTCAAGGTTCTTTCAAATATAGTTCGCAAGCGCCTTCACATGGAGATAACTTTCATTGATAATACTATATTGGTGTTGTTAAAATGACTGGTATTATTATCTTTAGTTACGTTTTTCAATACCATTTCAGGACTTAGTTAAGCCAGATATTCAATCCTATCCAAAAGAGATTAGATTTCCCTTTATTTTAGGGAATATTTGGAATATCTCACTGTTTTTGGCTCTTTTGTTTATTGAAGAGAGACTACAAAATCAGGTAAGAATGAAAGTTTACGCATAGCGGCACCCCACTTTACTTACATTACATTATATTAAGTAGGTTTCCAATAATTTGACAATCTGACAGTAATAGATGAAAATAGTTGGAAAATGCCAAGAAGTATAGCCGGACTAGAAAAGTATTTCTTGTTTAGGAGCATCAAAAATCAGAGGATCACCCTGAGAGACTTCAATGTTCGCACAGTCGCGAAACCTGCCATATGATTATTTAAATCAAATTTAAGGGAAAGTTTATGTTTATTTATTATACCTTTAAGTATTGTCATAATTTTTATACGTGCTAACATCGAGATAAAAGTTCAGCGTATTTTATATGAGCAGCATGCGTATGCAATTAAGGGAGGTCAATGTCAGCTTTATTGCGAATTGTTCCAAGTAAGCCGATGTACCGACAAAGTTAGTTACAGTTAATAGATGAAAATCTTTCCGTACTATTTTTGGCATTTTACTTTGGACCAGTGGGCGAGTAAGCTTTTATATCCTTATACTATTTCTATATATCTCTTTTTAGTATCATGGTTGAGGCTATTTCGACAAATGTTTATCATTTACTCCTTCAGGCAATTCAAGAAAGATTCCTTATCTCAACTCGGCACTAACATATTACTGTAACCAAATAGATGTTTAAAACTGTTTCATTGTATGTCTAATGTATTTTGTGAAATAAACTGTTTTTATACAAGATTACTGACTTAGTTGGACAGGGTAACCAGGCGACTATATTTAGATCAGTGTTGTAGAGCCATATTGTACATTGTACTGGAACGAAAAATGTAAATTGATATGATAGATTCACCTACTCTTCCTCCTGAAAACGCTACCCCGTTAATATTTTAAAAACAAACGAACACAGATCACTTGAGAAATTTAGATAAATTGCATATTATCAGAACCATATAATATCGTAAATATATAACAAATAGTGAACGACTAGTAAATATACAAACCATACAACAACAAGGCTTCAAAATATTCCCAAATCAGTTTAATATTTTGACTGTCCAGCGATAATGTCCAAATACTCCGTCCCCAATGTATAAAAAATAAGGTACCTCACACCTTTTTTACCACACTCCATACTGGTGGGATAGAACGACTGATAAAAGTGTTTAGAACTAATTTAAAGAATTAATTTAGAGCCTAAAATGATGGGATATTATAAAAACATACAGACAATTTAGGAAATTTTTAAACTGGGAATTCTTGTCGAGTTAAGTAAAATAATCTACGTCCACGTTCAAGTTCTCCCCTATAAATTTTCCCCAAGATTATTTGCAACTGCTCGATGGTAAAAAGAAAAGGTTAATTTGCTCATCATTAACTGTTTAGAGTTGATATTATTTCTCTACCTGTATACTGACTAACACCAATGGTTTGAAGAATGATAAGTGTATCTTGTTATAGTGATATAAAGTAGAACTTTTAATCTTTCTATTAATTTTTTGGAATATGCGATATCTAAATACGTAATACGAAAATCTGACAAAATGGTTTTAAAGGAGAATTAAAAACAAGAAAAAATACCTAGATGCATAGCTGGTAGCAGCAGGGTATCCAATGTGTCCATGCAGATATCCAGGCTTAGGGGCACCATACACTACAGCTACGAGTGCTGACAACACTACAAACTTGAACATTTTTTCTAATTATTTCTTTCCTGTTCTTCCACTGGAACTGTGAACCGTGAATCTTGTGTCTTCACCAAAACCCCGCGACTTTATATACGATGTGTCTAATTTCTTCATTCACGCAACAGCGCATATTCATGAGTATGTGGCCACCCCTCCATCCTCATATTAATTATTGCGATATGTGGAGAACCTTTGTCTATGAGAATACACAGTTTTTTTTCTACTATTTTGAACATATCTCGTCATGTTTTGCCTGCGGTGACCGTCAACCACAGGTATGTAGATCATAGTGCGGTGAATGCAGAAGCTCATTTCAATAAACTATAATATTTGATTTTATATAATTAGGTAAGTATGTTTATTGTGATCAAAACAGCTTCTGGTTCTGAGCCAAATTTTATTGTTCTAGAGTAGTCATTGTACAGTGGATAAAGATCTTTCTAAAAATCTTACATTGTGTAACATTCTCATAATGTCATTTTTGGAAACTTCCCGGGTAATTGAGATATCAACAAAAATTCCGAAAAATGTTTTGTCTCCAACTATATTTTTTAATAATCCCCAATAGCGCCAGCTCTAAGCAGGCACCTTTACCACCAAACTTCAAATAATAGCATTCCGTTAAAAATTTTGACGTGATAAAGTAATTGTTTGATAAAAGTAATATTTTCCTGTCCTTAGATTCTCCGTTTCAAAAGAATATACAGGGTGATTTAGAGAATAAAGGCAATAATTCTTATATAAACATAAGTCTTAAAATGATCGCTACTGATTACAAAACTGGAAGAAATTCTTCCGAGTAGAGTATTCAATATATTGGTACGAAAATTTTCTTTTCTGAGGCTACACCAGAGGCATGAAGATTTGGAAATGTTCACCATTACAGAAGGAAAAATAAAATTAGTTTCTAACCGGAAACATCTACATATTGCATTTCTAAATAATGCATTCAATTTAAAGGAATAAATGGTTGGAATATTTGAGTTGAAACCAGTAAAAAAACTGCAATCCGTTTTTGTTTGTGAAAATGTTGATCGTAGTAAAGTTTTCCATTGAAGATGGTGTGTCGTATAGAGTAATCCTATCACATCATAGCGTTATTTCAGTGTTATTTATGTTCTGTCGTTACTCAGCCTCATTGGTGCAATAGTACATTTTAATACATATTTATAGAATTTTTTTTGTTAGGTTCGCAAAGAATGTACAAAATTTGGATATTGTTTGCCAATTTTTTTAATCCCTTTAATTCACCTCTGCATTTTTTCCTTTTTTCGTATTTCCAAGTTGCTTGCTTATGACTCAAAGTACAAATGTGTCGTAATGGACCTGAGAATTTTTTTTGTGTTAAATGTATTATTTTAAAAATGTTCATTTTCAGTTTCTTCAATCTTTTACCAAGTATGCCATCTTCGACTTGTTGACTGAAAATCAATTTTATCATTACGCAATGAAGATCTCGGTTCGAAATAAGGTATTTTCGGAAAACTATTCAAGTAAGGGTTTTCTGAATACAAGATAGTTACTACTCTTGTATTCAAGAGACCGGTATTCAGTATGCGTGACGTATTTTTGGAGCATTGTCTAAAATGACTACACTATCAGGCAATGATCAGCGTGTAGAACTTCAAGAAAGATTGTTACTAAATAATGTCTTTGTTTTCATTTTGCATGTAATTACTGGGTGGTGATAACACAGAGGTAATTGCATTAGGAAAATTTACAGAAGAGTAACTTCGAAGTGTAGACAGTGGAAAAATGCGTCGTATACCTGTACCATAAAAAGATGTATCAATGAATATTGATGAGTTAGATAAAGGGAGTAACATATTGCGTATTAGCTGTATATTTCCAGAATGCTAAATGCATTTATAATCGAGTATCATCGCGTCTCCGAGTGGGACGTTTATGCAGGATGTCAGATTTTGACACCCTTATGCAATAAGTATCTATTAATTTTTTGCCGGTGATGGTTTTATAGAACCAGACCAGAAAGTCACAACAGCACCCGTATTACGTAACTTAAAATGTACTTGGACTTTTAATGACTCCGTCAGAATTATGATTCCTGTGCCGATATGGGGGATTTTGAGATACTAATAGATAATCAGCTGTCATTCTATCGTAATGGATACTCGTGAAATAGGGTATAAGAAGAGCAGACAGTTGGGACCTCGGTTGGCCGCGTGGGTCAGAGTGTCGTGCTACTGATCAGCGGGCCGGCCGGACCGCGAGTTCGAATCTCGCCTTCGCCATGGGTGTTGTGACGTCGTGTGTTTGTCCATAATTAGAGATATACAAATACAAGATTGGATCTGGCTAATGGGATGCAATGTCCTAGTGCCAAAAAAAAAAGAGCAGACAGTTAGACAAGGCGATTAAAAACAGCGACATGACATATAACTCCCGCATTGCTGCCAGATAGGTAATCCTTCTTGGATAAATTCATTGACAATCACTAATTATAGTCACGAATTGTTTGTTCAAATTTACTTTTGCTTAGACATTTATTCATGGTAGGGATATTTATCATCCATTTTCAACCCACGAAATATGTGTCTCATTCAATGAAGTTATAAATTACACTTTTCATGAGAGGACCTATTCTCAAAACATGTAAGTTATCAAATAGCAATTTGAATTTGAGGATCCTACGTCTTAGCTTAGTGATAAAAAATGTTCGTCAGCTTGGAATTCAAAAGTTCTCTAACCTCAAATTGCTCATTTGAACAATATTTTTGATATGGTCGCGAGTTATCTAGACAGTCTTGCCTTAACTTAACTTTTATCTATCAATTTAACGGATTACTGAAAACATAGCAGCAATGAATATAAACTCAAAAAAAGGCAACCATTCAATCGCTGTATCATGCAGGTTTTTTGTTTTATTTCGCGAAATTCTGTAAAGCGTTCAGCATCTAGACGTTCGACTTTTTGTCGTAACGAACAGCAAAATATTTGTGCAATTCATATTGGGTTTTATTGGCAAAACTTCTTTTAAGCTTTGGTTTGCTAAAGTGTAGTGGGATTTAGCAATGCTTTTCAAAAAATGATCTATGAGGTCAAAAATATTATGGATTTTAAGAATTAGTAATCAGCGCGATGCTAACTTTAATGGGTTATCCGATATTATGTTCACCATAAAACTATTTCAAAGGCTTGATACTCAACAGTAATTGATCGGCATCAAAGAATATGTCTCATCTACCAATTAACGTACGAGTAGTATCGCTTTTCAATTATATTCAATAAAACTGTTTCGTAAATTTGTAGAAAGTTATGTCCTCTGATCAGACTTAGATTCATCTTTACATAATACATAATAATCTGAATAATATTCTAATTTAAATAGTATAATGGCTTGTCGAAATCAGCTCACATTTTCGACATATCATATATTAACATAAAAATTAAAACTTGACTTTTTGATTCAATGGTATATTTAATTCAGCATTTTATGTTACACAACTTAGGAGATTATAGCAATATATGGTGCAGCAATTCTACTGTATGCGAATTTATGTTTGCATCATATTATACGTACTCGTGCTTAAGTTCAACGGTCTTTTACTTCACTTACATAGGTACGTACATAGTATCCAGTAATAAGACTTCATCTCTAAGGAGTAGATAGGAGACAACAAAAATAATCAAACCAGATGTCCATACAGGACGCAGAGAGAATTGTTTTAGGTTGAATATCTTTTGCATTGCATAATTAATCAAAATTTTGACAGCTTAGTGACCATTTTGGTCCGCCTTTATGGGTGATTTTTTAAGAGGTATAGGATTTGATTTTCAAAAAAAACACAAAAAATTTGAAAAAACGATTAAATCTTTATTTGAGTCGATAGAACGGTCGATACATACTAAGTGACATATAAATCCGAACACCCAGTTTAAATGGTTTTATTTTAATAAAAGTTGGTGAATGTCTTTATCTTACTGTAAATAACAAGTGAACAAATTTTCAGCCTTATCAGTTGGACATTCCGGTTTTTATACTGCTTTTTTTTAATCCACTAACGCTCTAAAAATGAATATTTCAGCCGCAGTAAAGAATCAACGTTGGCGGATTTTGGTTCTTGACATCCTTTACGATCGGTTACGATGCCTAGAGTACGGAGACCTGTACGATTTCGTCAACTTAGTGAGTTTGATAGGGGCCGTATAGTGGGACTTCGGGAAGCTGGACTTTCTTTTCGGGCAATTGCAGTTAGAGTGCAAAGAAGTGTAGACACTGTGGTTAGGTGTTGTCAGGCATGGCTTCGATAAGGCCGTACGCAAAGAGCAAGGGGCACTGGACGCCGCCGTAGAACAACAGACCGTGAAGATCGCCGCCTAAGATTATTGGCCTCAAGGGACCGTTTCTCCACTACCAGGTCCATTGCAAATGAATGGTTTGCAGAACACTAACTCGAGAACACCGACGTAATCGATTTGAGTGGTGCAGACAACGGTCACTCTGGGATCAGGAATGGAACAGTATTGTCTTTAGTGACGAGTCTCGATTTTGTTTAGGCATGCACGATGGTCGTGCCAGGGTTAGAAGGCGACGTGGTGAAAGGAGGAATCCACAGTTTTTTGTTGAAAGACATGTTCATCACACTGTTGGAGTTATGGTTTGAGGTGCTATAGCTTATGGTTCCAGGTCACCTTTAATCTTCATCAGAGGTGACATTAACGCGCAGCGTTATATCCACGAAGTTCTAGAACCCCATCTTTTACCCTATCTTGACACCCTGGCAGATCCAACTTTCCAACAAGATAATGCCTGACCACATGTTGCAAGAGTCACAATACACTTCTTTCAACATAATGATGTCACATTGTTACCATGGCCACCAAGATCTCCCGACGTATCCCCAATTGAGCACATGTGGGATATGATGGGTAGGAGATTGCTCAATTTGCAACGTCCTCCTCAGACTCTAGAAGCAGTTCGAGAGGAGTTGGTGGTTGCCTGGAATGAGATACCACAGGAGGACATTGACCACCGGATCGGAAGCATGCCTAGGCGCGTTGGAGAATGCGTAGCACATCAGGGTGCATCCACACATTATTAAAGGTCAAAGGGCTTTAAAGCAGTGCAATCATTTTGAAATTTTTATCATTTACTTATTATGCTTCATTAAGTACTTATACAAAATTTTATTAAAATAGAACCATTTAAACTGGGTGTTCGGATTTATATGTCACTTAGTGCGCAAGGT